ACATGCCTGTACTTAGACTTCTATAAATGCCCTTTGCCTCCTAGTTCTTTCTTCTATTTCTTTTTACTTTCCTCTTGTCCCACTGTCATGTTCAGCCTTCAATTGGGTTGTAGTAATTCCTCTCAGTTACATTGCCCTTTATCAAGCCCTACCAGACCTCTTACACCCTCCTCACCATCAATTTTGGATCACTTATTCCCTTGTCTCTGGGTTTGTTAACACCCACTTCTTTTCCCCCATCTCCTTCTCTCCCATGTCCCTCCCTGGAACCGTCCCATTGTTTTCTCCTCCAGATTGTTTATCCTGCCTATCTTATCTAGAAAGACCTGCAGAGATAATAATATGCACACAAAACAAGACAGAGCAAAACAAAGCAACAACAACAAAAAGAAAAGTCTATAAACAGTTCAAGGTCTGTTGACCTTTAGGCGTATTTTCCAGTGGAATCTGATGGGGTGCCAGACCCCGGCCCCAAAGTCTACGTATTTTGGTATTCCCTGGGGACTTCATTGCTCTGCTCCCTTGCATGCCCTTAGTGTTTTGCCCCGGTGTGGTGGGGTGATCCTGAGTTCTGTTCCACATTTGTCCCCCGTTCTATCCAGGACCTTCTAATGGGATCCTTTCCAAGTAGTTGGTAGTGGTAGCCGGGCACCCTCTATCTGGTCCTGGCCTCCGGGCTGTGCAAGGATCACCCTTGTTTTCAGAGTGCCTGCCTCCCACAGTGCCAGAAGGGAATGCCAAGTCTGAGTGTCTACCTTATGGATGGAAAGTCGGTGAGGGTGCCCATCCGTGAGATTGCGTTGGACCCTCAGGCAGTGGTAACGATCGCTGTTGACCTTACTGTGCGAAGGGGGTTTGGACAAGGACTAATAAGTAAGTGGGTGAATTTTTGTGTGATATTCTTTTGCATGTGTTTTAACTATTTTCACATGACTACCTTGTTTCTCCTTTCATTATTTTGTAAACTCTTCTTTCTCACTAAATGCTGCCCAGTTCAGGGTTCCACCTGATTAGTGTGTCTCTCGATTGCAGGTCCAATGGGTTTGAGCAGAAGCGCTTTGCCAGACTGGCCAGCAAGAAGGCAGTGGAGGAACTGGCCTACAAGTGGAGTGTTGAAGACATGTAACTTTCCCAGACTGGGGCTGTGACTCTGGGTTGCCATAGTAGCATTGGTCAGCACATACCCAGCAGTTAGAGTTGTCACAGAGACCAGCAACTTGATGAGTGTCAGTTTTGACCCCACGGACCCCAGAAGAATATGTGGAACTCGCCGTTTGGACTGAGACGCCTGTATTTCCTGGGTGTGCTAACACTGTTGTTACTGGCATTCAGAGGAAGCATTGATCTCAGTATCCCAGGGCTTACTATCCCAGGGTAAGGATTTTTCTTTTTTAAATTAATAAACATACATTTATTTTTTTAAAGATGTTCTCTTAACTGAGTACTTTTCTGGGAAGACCCAGCTGATACAGAACCCCTGAATATCTTGGGGTCAGCGGTTGATTTTTGCCTTCATCCAGAAATACAGAAGTTTGTGAATAAAAATTTCCACAGTGACCGAATCTTCTATGAGAAAGCAAGAATAAGTGCTGACCTAAGTGTAGGCAGACTCATGGATAGTTTAGAGATTTGGTGTATGATAAAGATGGCGTCACAGGTTAGTGGGGGATAGGTGGCCAGTAGTGCTCAGAAAGTTGACTTTAGAACAAAAATAATGTTGGTTTATATCTCATACTATAGAAAGCATAATAAATCCCAGAGGGATTTAAGACCCCACAAAAGGTAAAATAGTAACACTACAAGGGGAAAAAGGAGCATGTGTTTGTGCCTTGAATGGGGATCCAACAAATCAGAAATCCAAATCCATTGCCATTGAGTCAACCTTGTACAGGGTTTCTGAGGCTCTAACTCTTGGCAGGAGCAGAGAGCCTGTTGCTCTTTTCTATCAAGGAAGGGCTGATGGGGTTTGAACTGACGATTCTGGTTTATGGTCCAACACTTACCAGCATCACAGGGGCTCTGGGTGAAGATGGATTTCTTAATCCCATCTTCAGTGCACACTTCATCATGGGACTGCACCAACTACTCACTGTTGGTGTACTCCTTGCTTACCGACCGGTGAAGAAAATCCATCATTGTACCGTTTCGCACCTTAAAGATGTCTGCAAGTAATGAATGCCAAGTTGTGAGGCGAGAGAGAGTAGCATTAGCTGTGATGGTTAAGGTGTCCATCGACTTGGCTTGGCAGTGGTTTGGCTGCGCTGATCTGATGTGATCATCCTTCATTTTTACATAGCAGCCGGGTCTTTGGAGTGGAACCAGGTTGAGGAATGACTGTACTTTAAAATGAAAGGTTTCTCTTTGACAAAGCATTCCGTAGATGAACTTAAAGATGGATATCAATTAGGAAAAAATATTTGTAGTGGCTAACACGGACAAGGGATTGAATATAAAAAGAACTGGAAATTAGGAAGAAAAAG